GGCCGCCATTCCTTCCAGTTCTCTGCTGCCAATGACTGGAACGAATTGCAAAAATCTCTGAAGCTGGAGACTCTTATCTCCCTCACTAACTTTAAGCATCAGTTGTCAGAGCACCTTACCGATCACTGCACCTGTACAAAGCCCATCTGAAATTAGCCCACCCAACTACCTCATCCCCATATTGTTATTTATTTTGCTCATTTGCACCCCAGTATCTCTATTTGCACATCATCTCTTGCACATCTATCATTCCAGTGTTAATACTAATTGTATTTATTTTGCACTATGGCCTATTTAATTGCCTTACCTCCATAACCTTTGCAACAGTTGCAACAGTAATTAGATATTTTTCTGTTGTATTTTTGACTTTAATGTTTGTTTTAATATAATTATCTATAATATAATATAATAATAAATATAATAATATAATATGCCATTTAGCAGACGCTTTTATCCAAAGCGACTTACAGTCATGCGTGCATAATTTTTATTTTTTTTGTGTATGGGTGGTCCCGGGGATGGAAACCACTACCTTAGCGTTACAAGCGCCGTGCTCTACCAGCTGAGCTACAGAGGACAGTTTTACCCCATATGTAACTCTGTGTTGTTGTTTTTCATTGCACTGCTTTGCTTTATCTTGGTCAGGTCGCAGTTGTAAATGAGAACTTGTTCTCAACTGCCTTATCTGGTTAAATAAAGGTGACATATAAAAAACAAACAAAACAAAAACAAAATTGTAGATGTCTATAATCAATATATTAGTCCCCTTTCAGCACCTATATCAGAAACCATGTCAGTGATTACATGGATATCATGTTTCTACATCACATTTATTAATAAACTCTGACTGTCCAGGAAGACTATTTACATATAGGACACTTTGCATTGTCAGCACATGCTTCGGTGGTCTGGGAGTGTTCACATCCCTGTGAGTTTAACACTTCATGACTGAGAGCTGTCCTTCATGACAACAGAACTTCAACAATTAATTTTGTCATGAGCTTTGTGTGGATATTGATGTTCTTAATTCAAGGTAAGATTTTCTAATATCAAGCTCTTCAATTTTATTTTTTATCTAAATATTATATTGAAATATTGCCTCTTCCTTGAGAGAATGATATTAGTTAAAATTCAGACAAAACAAACAGAGTTTAAAAAAAGTCTTAAATGTCTCTGTTTCAGAATCCAGAGGACAGGTCACTGTGACTCAGAATCCTACAATGAAAACTGTTCTCCCAGGACAGACAGTTATTATAAACTGTAAAACCAGTGTGACTGTATCAAATGCTTATTCTGTATTCTGGTTCACCTGTGTGGCCTTGTTCCAACAGAAACCTGGAGGAGCTCCTAAACTCCTAAAATACTGGGTTAAAACCCTTCAGTCTGGGACTCCATCTAGATTCAGTGGCAGTGGATCTAGGAGTGACTTCACTCTGACCATCAGTGGAGTCCAGGTTGAAGATGCAGGAGATTACTACTGTCAGAGTGACAACAGTGGTCCAGTGTTCACACAGTGATACAGAGCTTTACAAAAACCTCCCTCAGTCAGACTGCACAGTGACTGTACTGCTACAGCTGGGACCTACTGCAGGTGCTGAGGGGGAAGCGATAGTGACATGGAACACTGATCAGCAAGGAAATCTTGAATAAGGATAGAAAGCATAATTCATATCACATGTTCTCCATCATCATCATCATCATCATCATGGTTGTGACTCGTTATATTTGTCATGACCTTAAAGATCATCTAAAAGTTATTTGTGGGTTTTGAAAACACAATACCTGTCCATATGCAAAGTAAGAAGTAAAACACAAGGTGTTATGACCTCAACATTACTTCAACGTTACTTCACGTTACAATCACTTCAGCCCCCCAGACCAAGTCCCCAAATGGACCTCACAACCAAATGTGTGATTTAAATGGATTTGATCTTATAGTATTATATTAACTATTTTCATGAGCAGGTTACTGACTGATAGATCTGTGAATGAGACATGATGCTGGGTTCAAACATGAGAGACATGTACACTACATACATGTAAAGTATAATATCCATTTTATCTGTCATTAATTACATGGTGGCATATCTGTTAATGTCTCCCTCCCTGAATCCACCATAGAGGTTAAAACCAGTCCACTCCCTCACATCTGGCCGAGTCCATGTCACGACTTCCTCCGAAGCTGCCTCTTCTCCTTGTTCGGGCAGGATTCGGCATTCGTCGTCATCGGCCTTCTAGCCACTGCCGCTCCTCATCTCATCATTCCATTCGTTTTGTCTTGTTTATTACACACACCTGGTTCATGTCCCCTCATCAGTACCTGTATAAGTGTTCCCTCTGCCCCCTTGTCTTTGTGTGTGATTGTTTATTGTAGAGGATATTATAGCTCGGTGGAGCTAGATTATATTGTGTATCGCCGGGATATTCAACCTTGTGCCTTGTTTTCCCCAGTGCGCCGTTTTACCGCACTGGTGTGTATTACGCATTGCTGCGTACCACTGTTTATCGAATAAACCATATATTCCGTGATTTACTCTCCTGCGCCTGACCCGTCCTAAATCAACCGCTACAGAATCACAAACCCAAACATGGAGTCAGCAAGAGAAGGGAACATGCCTGGAGTCGTGGCGCGGGTCCGGGAGCATTCTACTATGCGTGCCAGCTTAGGAGAAGCGATGGATCGAGTTCTCCAGGTCGTCCAATGCCGGGATTCACCTATCCTGACCGAGGGAGTATGACGGGACAGCTGCCCGCTGCCAGGGATTCCTCCTGCATCTGGACCTCTACTTCTCTACCATCAGCCCGGCTCCATCGGAGCGGGAGAAGGTGTCCGCCCTCATCTCCTGCCTCTCGGGGAAAGCCCTGGATTGGGCCAATGTGGTCTGGAATGAAGGAGGAGACGCGATGGACCACTACGGGGAGTTCGCGCGCCTCTTCCCGGGCAGTCTTCGATCACCTGCCCGAAGGAGGAGAGGCGGGCGAGTGGCTGGTCCAACTGAGGCAGGGGACGAGGACCGCGCAAGACTTTGCCCTGGAGTTTCAAACTCTAGCGGCTGGGTCCGGGTGGAACGAGCGGTCCCTCATCGACCGCTTCCGATGCAACCTGCGAGAGGACGTCCGAAGGGAGCTAGCCTGCCGGGATGACACGTTGACTTTCAATCAGCTGGTGGACATGGCCATCCGGTTGGACAACTTGCTGGCTTCAGGAGGACGTCCTGGAGGGGGCCTGCCCGTTTCACCCCACTTCAACCCGGATGACGTTCCGATGGAGCTGGGTGGGGCAGCGATCCGGGAGAGCGGAGGACGACAGCTCCAGTGTCACTCTTGTGGCACGAGAGGACATTCGACTGCACGCTGTCGTCAGCGTTCTTTTGGGTCTGGAGGCGGCAGGCAGGGCACTCTCGCGTCACCCCATGTAGCGAAAACCCACACTCGTTCAGAGCCCTCTGCTGCACACTTTACCATACACGTCCACTTCCCTGATTACACGGTAGTTCCCCAGCGTAAGGCGCTGGTCGATTCAGGTGCAGCTGGGAACTTTATGGACAGGTCGTTAGCTCATAGTCTAGGTATTACATTGGTTCCCCTATCCATTCCACTGCCCATCAAAGCACTTGACAGTCGACCATTAGGGTCAGGGTTCGCTAGGGAAGTTACAGCACCAGTCACGATGGTTACGCAAGAGACCCATAGAGAGCAAGTCACTTTTTTTATTATTGAGTCTCCCGATTTCCCTGTTGTGTTGGGTCTTCCCTGGTTAGCACTACACAACCCCACCTTTTCATGGCCGCAGAGGGTTCTCACGGGTGGTCGCGAGAGTGTCAGGGTAGGTGTCTAGCTGTTTCCATTGGTGCAACAACGGTGGAAAGTCCAGACACTACCTCCACCGTGCGCATTACCCCCGAATACCTCGATTTGGCACACGCGTTTTCCAAAACGCAGGCGACCAAATTACCACCTCATCGGGTGGGGGATTGCGGGATAAACCTCTGGGTAGACGGTGTGCCTCCCAGGAGTCATGTATATCCCCTGTCACAGGCTGAAATGGAGGCAATGGAGACATACGTCTCCGAGTCCCTGCGCCAGGGGTTCATACGTCCCTCCACTTTGCCCGCCTCCTCGAGTTTCTTTTTTGTGAAGAAGAAAGACAGAGGTCTGCGCCCTTGCATTGATTACCGAGCACTTAACAAGGGGACAATTCATTATAGTTACCTCTACCCCTCATTCCATCTGTAATCGGGTCAATGCATGGGGCGCGCTTCTTCACAAAATTAGATCTCCGGAGTGCGTACAACCTGGTGCGTGTCCGAGAAGGGGACGAGTGGAAGACAGCATTCAGCACAACCACGGGGCATTACGAATACCTGCTGATGCCGTACGGTTTGATGAATGCTCCATCAGTCTTCCAGTGTTTCGGGACATGCTTGGTGTGGTGGTCTACATCGATGACATGGCCAACCAGGGCTTCCTGAGGATAGCCGAACAGTGCCAGTCTAGAGTGAAGCGGCTAAAGGCCAACTTCCTCCAGTTCTGCGAGAGCAAACAGTAAGTCATGGGGGATAAGATATGGATATGAAATTGATAACCACTATTTATAATTGCAAATTGATTATGAAGATGCCATACTGATGGAACAGTTTTGTATTCATGGTCAGAGGTTTGCCATGCTCATGTTAGTAAAGCAAAGCTCATAAACTAACCAGATATGAGGAATAAGAAATGTTCTATTTTCCCAGGAGTGGAGGAGAAAATGTGGAGTGCGAATTCTACGATCAGTTTGTGCAAATATTCGGGAACAAGCATCTATCCTGTGACTCTCTGGCTGAGGAATCGAATGGCGCCACAGACATGGGAGAGGTCCCAGGTGGCCAAGTCCACGGAACAGGTAACTGAAACAATCTCCTAATCTCTGTACAGTAAATGCTGTTTTTACATTATACTATCATCGTTGGGCCTTTGTTTACGTGTTGTTGTTTTTTGGCTGTCCATCACCATGAGAACTAGATCTCCCCTGGAGCATTGAGGAGACTGAAGCCCTCCTCGACATATGGGTCAGTGACAGAATCCAAGAGGACCTGAGGGGAAACACTGAACTGGAACACATTTATACAGAGATTTCCCAAATGATGGCTGACCAGGGCTTCATGAAAACAGCAGAGCAGTGCCAGACAAGGGCGATGCAACTGAACCTGAGTATTATTCCAATCTGACGATGAGGAAGCATTAGGGATCATCTGAAGACAGTTTTGTAGCGCCACAGGACAGCTATAATGACTCAACAATGAATTCTGGAAAAGAGGTGTATGAACAGTTGCAATGACCTGTGTCTCTCCTGTCTCCTGCGTTCTTCTCAGAGAGGTTCTGTATTCTATCAAAGAGGCGCTGTTGCTTTGTTGGATATTGCTGAAGAGACTCAACATCCATCCCATTCTTTCTGTTGGAAATCAGACACATGTATTTAACCTTTATGTAGGTACTTAAATCTAAGTGTAATGGACTATCTGAATGTTTTTTTGTCATGTATTTCACTGAAAGTGTATATGTGTTGTGACAAAGGGACCTATTCAATGAACTTAACGAAACCTTTTAAAGGGATTGGCTTGAGTGAATCCTCTAACGAGAATTGTTAAAAACCACATGACATTCTGAACATCTTGACTTTGCTTTATGATTTGCCAAACAAAAGGCTTGCTATTATGTATATATTTGTGTATTTTATGTACATTTGTGTTTTAGCAAACTCAATGTGCGTTTAGGGCTATTTTCAAGTGAACTAATTTACATAAAATTCCTTTGAGTGGAGTTTGATTGCCTACGCTTTGGGTACTTAAGTGTCAATACTGAATCATCTCTGTTACTGTCTATCTAGGTTCACCGAAACGCTGAGGTTTCTGTTGTTACCATCTCTAACCACTGGGGGAAGCATGAAACCAAATCCTATTTTTATCGTCAACAGATTGTCTGGAGCAGAGCCCCACAGTAAGTAGCCACTAGAATTCTGGAAGCACAGGCACCTACTTTTTGTTTAGTCATACGTTATTTTTAGATAACACGGTGAGATAGCCGTTGCATCAAATCCTTTTCTCAGCATTGATGGTGTTGGTTGTTCCTCGGAAGACCATTTGCATAGAGAGGATACTTTGCATTGGCAGTGAATGCTTCAGTGGTCTGGGAGTGTTTGTAGCCATGTGAGTTTAACACTTCATGACTGAGAGCTGTCCTTCATGACAACAGAACCCACAACAACCATGACTTTTATCACCATCTTCATCTGGACACTTGCTTTCTGCTTTCAAGGTTACCATTTTCAGAATTTGTTGTTGAACAATGATTTAATCTACACAAAAGTATAATGTATATTAATGTAAATATTTTATTCAGAACAATTGCTTAATATATGTGATATTCATTTCATATAAATGTTTTATTCTATGTTTCAGAATCCAGAGGACAGATCAATGTGACTCAGACTCCTGCAGTGAAAACTGTTCTCCCAGAACATACAGTCTCTCTGAACTGTAAAACGTGCAGTAATGTGTATCAAGCAGGTTACTCTGATGCCCGTCTTGCCTGGTATCAACAGAAACCTGGAGGAACTCATGAACTCCTTATTAACCATACTAAAACACTCCATCTAGATTCAGTGGTAGTGGAACTCATAGTGACTTCACTCTGACCATCAGTGGAGTCCAGGCTGAAGATGCAGGAGATTACTACTGTCAGAGTTTCCACTATCCCAACAGTGTCTGGGTGTTCACAGATACATAAACCTCCCTCAGTCAGACTGTACTGCTACAGCTGGGACCTACTGCAGGTGATGAGGGGGAAGAGACACTGACATGGAACACTGATCAGTAGAGGAAGTCAACTTTGAAAATGGTTAGAAAGTGTCATCATCATCATCATCATGGTTGTAACTTGTTATATTGTCATGAACTGAAAGTGTATATAAAAATGTATTAGAAGTTTTGGAACACATTACCAGTCCATATGCAGAGCAAGATCTACTGAAGTAAAAATAAAAGTAATGTTAATTCAGCATAGACAGGGCTGGGTGGTTCTGCTTGTCCCAGAATAGAGCAGCACTGTCACCAGATATTCACTCTGTTCCCAGGGGGTTGGAGGTAGAGAAGACCAGGGGAAATATAATGGAGAAGTGTAGACCACACATTGTTGAAAACCATTGCAAAAATATCTAATTTAATAAAATCATATTAGGAATTAAACATAATAAATATACATGTCATGGAAAGTAACTGTTTAGTAGTGTGAGTTCTGAGAGCAGATCTTAGAGGTTTATTATCAAATATCACTAATTATTATAACTGGTATTGGTGCTACAGTATAACAGGATCATTCAGTTGTAGAAATGATTGCAGAGTATTTGTTGGATCAGATGCCCTTTAATTCTGTTTGAAAACATGAGAGTAGCTATATGCTACAATGCTGAAATTATAAAAGAAGCTGATTGATCTAAATTAGTATGAAGTGTTCTGCCTATTCATGTGATAGTGATCACTGGAATGATGATTAAATCAATTATTGGATTATTTTCTAATCAAAGCAAGCTTTATTTGAACTCAGAGGCAAGAAGACATGTACAACATAATCTCAAAATACTTCATTTAGCACACAGCACTACTGATATTATTCACTATTATACTGTAACATTCAGCTCTAAAACACTAATGTTTCCAGAACTAGCATCATGTGGGGATTCTCTAGAACCCTACAATTGCTTCTCCGGTCTCTAGACACTATATTGACTTTTCCTGAAGGCGGCTGAATCACTGGTGTCGTCGTCGTGCAGGTGTACACCTCTCCATCTTCCCAGCGTGCCTTGCTCAGGGTCAGGGTGCTACTGCGGCTGAAGTGGCCGCCCTTCTCTTCTTCTGTGGTGGTCAGGACCCCATCCTTGACCTCCGCCCCGTCCACCTCCCAGCTCACCATCGTCCCCAGGGGGAAGTAGACTCTCAGCAGGCATGCCAGTTTGGCCGAGCCCCTGGAGAGTTACTCAGAGGACAGGAGGGAGCAGAGACACTGTGTGCCTGACAGAGGGAAGAGCTGGAGAAGAGGAGAGATGATAGAGGAGAGTCAGCTACTACTACTATTGTATAACAGAATATATTAGGAGAGGAGAGGAGAGGAGAGGAGAGGAGAGGAGAGGAGAGGAGAGAATAAACACAGGATAAACAACTAGCTACAGTACTGAGAACAACCGACAACAACAAAACACTTAATCTATAAAGATAAAGGCAAAAATAAACTCTGAAAACATTTCTAGACAAAACAATTCATCAGATAAATGTATGTTACATTCATGCTCTACAGTTTAGCACACCAAGAGCAACAACACACTAGGAGGGGTTTTCCTGGACACAGATGAAGCATTGTCCTAGACTAAAAGCTCTTTCAATGAAGATTATCCAATTGAGTTTGCTTTTCAGTCCAGGACTATGCTTAATGTGTCTGGCAAACTGCCCCTAAGTCTACAAAGACATGCAGTAAACAGATACACTACATTACCTCATCAGGTATATGCTTAAACATTTACATTACATTTACATTTACATTTCTTAAACATTACAAAGCACAACTGATCATGACCTGGGGTTGTATATCCACAGCCTATTAAGGCTGAACGCATGTCATGTATGCAGTTGATCTATCGGATCTGATTGAACAATAACCAGGAATAATAAAATCAAGATGTGCTCTAAGCCACATCAGGTTTAATCTCTAAATCAATTATATATTTCTTAAACGCCTGATCGTTAGTACAACACCTCGTTCCTGCCACGCCCTGCTATCTTCCAGCACCTTCACAGTCTTTAATTGATTCCAGCTGAGGCTCATTTACCAATCAAGGCCATGATTGGCTGGACAATCAGCTCTCAACCTTTTTAAAGGTCAGCTGCTCACACATCTCTTCAACGAGGGGAGAGATGGTGGAAGAAGAAGTAGTGTCGTTTGAAGCTGAAAGCGCGTTGAGTACAGTTAGTGAGAAAGATGAGTGGACAATAGTGAAGTCCAAGAATGGAACAGAAAGGGCTAAAATTGTTGTGGAAAATGAGTCTGATGAATCGTTCCTGTCACGTTCGTTTAAGGACGGGTCAGACCAAGGCGCAGCGTGAAAGGCATATATGTTTATTTCACCGATAAACACACGAACAAACCAACGAAACGTGAAGTCCTAAGGCTAAACACAATACAAGCCTCTAACACAGAACAAGATCCCACAACTAATGATTGTAAACAGGCTGCCTAAGTATGATCCTCAATCAGAGACAACGAGCGACAGCTGTCTCTGATTGGGAATCACACCCGGCCAAACATAGAAATACAACACCTAGACTGAGAACATAGAAAATACAACATAGAACTCCACACCCTGACTCAACATACTAGAGTTTCATACGTCAGGGTGTGACAGTTCCTTGTTGGAGTACATTTTTTGGATAAAGATGTTTATTTGGGAAACCCTTTTGAAGTCAGAGGATGGTGAAGAAGGCATTGGGAAATGTGGATGCAGTCAAAGTAACCAGGAGTGGTATGGTGTTGATATCATAGTAACCAGGAGTGGTATGGTGTTGATATCATAGTAACCAGGAGTGGTATGGTGTTGATATCATAGTAACCAGGAGTGGTATGGTGTTGATATGGTGTGTATCTAAAGAGCAAAAGGAATGTGCATTGTGGCTCGCGAAAATATCGACGCATGAAGTGAACAGCTTTGGTTTTCGGAGCAGGAAACCAGTAAAAGGTGTTATTTCTGGCGTCCCGTTGGACATTGATAATCAATATCTTAGGCTAAAAATTCCAGGAGTAGTTAATGCATGTCACTTGACCCGTATGGAGAATGGGAAAAAGGAGCAAAGTTTATCTGTATTATTGATGTTTGATGAGTATTTACCACCCTATGTAAAGTTGGGATATAAGATACGCTGTAAGAGCATTCGTGCCAATCCCGAAGCAATGCAAAAAGTGTAAAAAGTTTGGCCATGTGTCAAGTGTTTGCAGATGGAAGGAATATGTTATTGAAGAGTCTGTGAATGTAAAATGTTTCAACTGTGGCGGGGATCATAATTCCGAATACCCTGAGTGTTCTGTTAGGGTGAAAGAGGTTGAGGTGTCAAGGATCAGGGCTGTACAGCAAATCTCCTATGTGGAGGCGGTGAAGAGCATTGAAGTTCTTCAGAAGATATGGTGGTGGATGCAACACAACCAGTTGCAAATGTTATACTTCAATCAAGTAATCTGGAAACACTTATTGTGAAAAAGGTGTATTTTGTAGCATTTATAGCCACAGTTATTAATTGTACTGCACAAGTGTCTAAGAAGCTGGACATCATTATATCTGCAGCCGAGTGGTTATCCCACTGGCTATGTGGTTATCCCACTGGCTATAAGGTGAATGCACCAATTTGTAAGTCGCTCTGGATAAGAGCGTCTGCTAAATGACGTAAATGTAAATGTAAATGAGAAGACTTAACAGCAGAAGCACTGCAAGGACTACTGTCGCCAGGAAATGTCCCGCCATCACAGGATCCTTCTGAGCCTGTGTAGGGACCTGATTAATTTAGTTTAATTAACATTTCGTTACTAAAAGTTTGTATGGATTTTTTAAAATATATGTATTTATTTATTTTTTACCCCACATTTTTTTCCTTTTTGGATCCTTATTATCCACATGTACAGTAGGTGGCGGAATACACATAATTGTTGCGAACACTATTATACCAAAGAAGAAGATCTCTTCAACTACAGTTTCTCTGTGGGACCATGAAAGTCTGTTTGGTTAGAGAGAACACTTTGCATTGCCAGCACATGTTTCAGAGGTCTGGGAGTGTTTATATCCCTGTGAGTTGAACACTTCATGACTGAGAGCTGTCCTTCATGACAACAGAACCCACAACAACCATGACTTTTATCACCATCCTCATCTGGACACTTGCCCTCTGCTTTCAGGAAAAAGATTTTGAGCTCAGACATTACACACATATCTGTAACCATAGAATTAGGAATTAGAATGTGATGTCAGTAACTATCAATGCCTATATTTAGTAATACCCATATTTTATGTCATCTATTAAATGGTGGTTTATTCATTGTAAGAAAGTCCCCCTCCCTGAATCCACTATAGAGGTTAAAGTAAAACCAGTCCACTCCCTCACATCTGGCCCAGTCCAGGGTATTTCAGGCAGTGAAACTGTTCAACTGCTAGACTGGTATCTGTGGGAGTGAAACTGAAATTTACATAGACAAGGCTGGGTGGTTCTGCTTGTCCCAGAATAGAGCAGCACTGTCACCAGATGTTCACTCTGTCCCCAGGGGGTTGGAGGTAGAGAAGACTGTCACTACACTATATAACAGCGTTTCCCAAACTCGGTCCTCGGGACCCCAAATGTTGCACGTTTTGGTTTTTGCTCTAGCACTACACACCTGATTCAAATAATCAACTAATCATCAAGTTATGATAATTTGAATCAGCTGTGTAGTGTTAGGACAAAAAACTAAATGTACACCCCTTGAGGACTGAGTATGGGAAACGCTGCTATATCTTGAAGTAGTGCCACTTGTAATATTTGTAAAAATACAATTTTTTTTTAGCTTCAAATCAAAGCCTATAACACACGTGAGAGTCCAAGATATCGGTTGACTGTTTGATAGTTCTTATTTTATTACTATAAAGTCTGTCAAGTCAAACACATCTGACACAGACTCAGTATCCTGATGAATGAAGACAGTCAACTACTACCATGGCAGAACCTCTTCTATTATATCATAATATATTGTGATAGTATTAAATACTGGTCCATTATGATGTTAGAGTGAGTTTTAGACTTGACAGTTTTTAAAGACAGCATTAATCAGCCTTACTGAATACATATTTTTCCAGAATATTACAAATATACAGTATCTAAGATACTGTTTATTAATAGAAACAACAAAAATATGCATTTCAAAAAGAAATATTTATTTTAATCCATTATCACACAATCGAAGCATCAAAACAAACATGATAGTGAATAAAAGCAGATCACATCAAATCTAAAACTAACACAATCTCAATCTACAGAATGGATTGACACATGAATTCAAGCCAAGCCCCCTGTTAGTCTACACCAGGGTGATCTCTAAATCAGAGAATTACTGATTTTAGAACAAAGCTAGTCAAAGCAGAGGAACCAGCATCCTCTCTCCACAGGGGTGTGTGACTGAGGGGTCCTACCCAGAACAGTCAGCCCTCCTCAGGGTCTTTGTGACTGGAGTCTGGGATTTCTGCTGGAATTCACAGGTCACCTCTCCTGCCTTCGTCCACTCCTGGGCAGTGAGAGTCAGGGTGCTGCTCCAGCTGTACAGGCCGTCCTTCTCCAGGAACCCGGGACTGGCCTCCTGCTTCTTGCTGGTCCCGTCCACTTTCCAGCTCATGGTCCAGTCTGAGGGGAAGCCCTTGTTGGCTAGACACATCAGCGTGGCTATTGACTTACTGGACAGCTCCTCACTAGAGGCTGGCTGGACGGGTTTGGGAACTGTTACCTTGAAGAAACACAACACATCAACTACATCAAAACAAAGTACTTTGGAAATGACTTCTAAAACTTAGATTAGATTGCTAAAAGACGTGAAGAAAACACAAACATTAGTATGATAGGAAAGCAGATTACAAGTATAAAGTATACAAGCAGAAAGCATACAAGTATGACGTGTGTAACTTTAGCATTACTTTGTCATACTTAAAAAAAAATTAGGATAGTTTCTCATCAGAATACTCATATTTGTAGTATTTTGCAGAATCCAAGAGGTTGGATACAAATAACAGAGACCCTTTCTGGCTATCATGAACACAATGCACTGATGACTACAATAACAAATATTATAGTTATCATACCAGAATAAGAGTTATATAGTCTGCAATCACACAAATAAAACGTACAAAAAAATGCCCGCAATTTAACATTTTGATTAAATAAACTGTTAAAGAAGGCTCTTTCAAAATCAATATATAACAATATTTTTGGAAAGTAAAGTATCTCAAATCTAAATGTTTTAATAGATATTAAAGAGTTTAAGAATAAAATGGAATCAGACAAACATCAAGAAACTTACTTCCAACATCTAGTCTGGTGCCGCTACCAAAAGTGTACCACAGTGATACAACCCCTATAACTGCTGGTACAAAAACCTCCTGACCATTGGGCAAGCTGAATAATAAAATGTTTTAGACTGTGGTATAAACCATGAGCACATATGAATACTGGCCAAATATAATGTTATATTCTTCATTTGAAATAGTTTTTTGATTAAATGAAAAACATTATAGTTTTATTATAAAATAGAAAGGTAAAAAACAAACCCAAACATTTTAGAGAAATGTTCAGTAACTGATTTGAGAAGCTTTCATAAGAGTCCAAGCATGAGTGAAGTGACAGTTAGGGCTGTATTCAATCTGTATCGCTGAAGCCTTTAAATTTCAATTGGGCTTTAGCGCTGAACTTCAGCAATACGGATTGAATAGAGCCCTTCATCTGAAATAAAAGGTGTATCGTTGAAGTGTTACAGATTGCCGGATAGAAATGTCAAGATAATTTTTGATTGAGCTGACATATTACATTTACTTCACTTAGCAGATGCTCTTATCCAGAGGGACTTACAGGAGCAATAAGGGCCTTACTAAAGGGCACATCGACAGATTTTTGACCTAGTCGGCTCAGGGATTCGAACTAGCGACCTCTTAACCGCTAGGCTACCTGCCACCCCATATGCATCGTTTACTGTGAATGCAGTCTCCGCTAACACAGGAACATTGCCTTTAAATTCCAATCACGCTGTAACGCTGAACTTCAGCAATACGGATTGAATAGACCCCTTCATCTTGATGCTTGTCATTTGCTTTCAAGTTAAAGTTGCTGTTGAATTCTAAAGCATATTATGTTCTAGAAAACTGATCTTAAATGGAATCTGATCTTGACAATGTGTTATTCATTTCTCAGTATCCCGAGGGCAGATCACTGTGACTCAGATCCTGCAGTGAAAGCTGTCCTTTCAGGTCACATACTGCAGTTACTCTCCACTGCTGTAAAACCAGCAGTGATCCATTAAAGGCTCTGTGCAGTCAAAATTCAGTATTTCTTGTGTTTTATATAATATTGTACAACAGCTGATGAAACTAACACTGTAAAAGTGTGAAAAAAATGGATCAGTTGTCACGGTTTCGGCCGAGGCTGCTCCTTCTCCTTGTTCGGGAAGGCTTCGGCGGTCGTCGTCTCCGGAGTACTAGCTGCCACCGTTCTATGTTTCGATGTTTGATTGGTTTTGTCTGTTTTGTTACACCTGTTCCTTGTTAGTGTTTATTATGCGTCCTATAAGTTCTCCTGAGTTTTGTCATGTGTTGTGTGTAATTGTTCGTTGTCACTGTGGGATGCTAGTTCGTTTTCTTCTCTCTGTTTGGTTTAGTAGAGAGCTCTGCACTTTTGTGCCTTTGTATGTACTTTACCGGTGTGCGTAAAGTTTGCTTGCCTGCCAGGTTGTATCTAGCCGTGTTTTGCTTGTTCTTTTTTGTCTTCACTAAAGACGTCAGTACCAAGCCTCTGTGTGTCCTGCGCTTGATTCCACACCACTTCTACACTCAACTGTGACAGAATTACACACCAATATGATGGAATCAGCAGGAGCAGCCGCACCTACCGAGATTATTGAGGAGCGCCTTCGTGGACAGGAGGACAGGATCAACCAGATCGGGCACGCTCTGGATAGGGTGATGAACACCCTCCATCATCGATGGGAGGCCAGCGGGGTACCCACGCCCCCACCTACCACACCATCACCATCGGTCAGTCCACCTGTCCAACTTCCGGAACCCAGTGGGATTCGGCTCTCGCTCCCGAGGGCGTACGACGGCACCGCGGCCGGGTGTCAGGGTTTCCTGTTGCAAATCGAACTCTACCTCGCCACCGTACACCCGGTGCCCTCAGGACACGAGAGCGTTTCCGCCCTCATCTCCTGTCTCACCGGCAAGGCGTTGGAGTGGGCCAATGCCGAATGGAGGAGGATAGACGCCGCAACGATCACCTATGCGGAGTTCTCCCGCCGCTTCCGGGCAGTGTTCGACCATCCACCTGAGGGGAAGGCGGCGGGGGAGCGTCTATTCTACCTCCGGCAGGGGATGAGGAGCGCTCAAGAGTTTGCACTGGAGTTCCGGACGCTAGCGGCAGATGCAGGGTGGAATGAGCGGGCCCTCATAGATCACTTCCGCTGCAGCCTCAGGGAGGACGTCCGTAGAGAGTTGGCGTGCAGGGACACCACTCTTTCGTTTGACCAATTGGTTGACATGGCCATTCGGCTAGACACCCTGCTCACCACCCGCGGACGTCCTGGGTGGGGGTCGCCCATTCCACCCTCCAGCACCTCCGAGCCGAGTCCTATGGAGCTCGAGGGTGCTGGCGCTAGAGAACGGAGGAGAAGGAGCCCGAGGGGGGCCCTCCCCTGCACCAACTGTGGCCGTGGAGGGCACACCGCGGCTAGGTGCTGGGGAGGGTCTCCTGGAGGACGAGACAGCAGGCCACACATTGGGGAGTCCTCCCAGGTGAGTAGGCGCCCCACTTACCCAGAGCTTTCTGTCGTGCACATAACCATACCTGTTTGTTTTCCACAGGTTGCACCTCGTTCCCAGCATAAGGCGCTAGTAGATTCAGGCGCAGCTGGGAATTTTGTAGATCGTACATTTTGTATAGAGTTAGGGATCCCTCTCCTACCGGTTAATAATCCCTTCCCTGTACATGCCCTAGATAGCCGTCCGTTAGGATCCGGGTTGATCAGGGAGGTCACAGTGCCACTTAGGATGGAGACGCAGGGGGTTCATGAGTAGACGATCCAGCTATTCCTGATTGAATCTCCTGCGTATTCGGTGGTGCTGGGGCTTCCCTGGTTGATTACTCACGATCCTACCATTTCGTGGCGAGAGAAGGCTCTTAAGGGGTGGTCTGCCCAGTGTGTGGGGCTATGTCTGGGTGCTTCCGTAGGGGCGACCTCGGTGGGAGGTCGATACGGAGATCGAGCGGGCGTTACGCACTGACCCTAGCCCTCCACAGTGTCCGGTGGGTCGGACGTACGTCCCGTTCGAGGTCCGGGATCGACTCATTTATTGGGCTCACACGTCACCCTCCTCTGGACATCCAGGTATTGGCCGGACAGTGCACTGCCTTAGCACAAAGTACTGGTGGCCAACGTTAGCCAGGGATGTGAGGATTTATGTCTCCTCCTGCTCGGTGTGTGCCCAGTGTAAGGCGCCCAGACACTTGCCCAGGGGTAAGTTACAACCCCTGTCCGTTCCACAACGACCCTGGTCTCACCTCTCGGTGGATTTTGTTACAGACCTTCCCCCCTCACAGGGGAATACCACCATCCTGGTCGTTGTGAATCGGTTCTCGAAGGCCTGTCGTCTCCTTCCCATGCCGGGTCTTCCTACTGCCCTACAGACCGCTGAGGCTCTATTCACCCACGTCTTCCGGCATTACGGGGTACCCGAGGATATAGTGTCTGATCGAGGCCCCCAGTTTACCTCCAGAGTCTGGAGAGTGTTTATGGAGCGTTTGGGGGTTTCGGCGAGCCTTACCTCAGGTTACCACCCGGAGAGTAATGGGCAGGTCGAACGTGTCAACCAGGATGTGGGTAGGTTTCTGAGGTCGTATTGCCAGGGCCGGCCGGAGGAGTGGGCGAGGTATGTTCCCTGGGCCGAGATGGCACAGAACTCTCTCCGCCACTCCTCCACTAAACTAACTCCTTTCCAGTGTGTGTTAGGGTACCAGCCGGCTCTGGCACCTTGGCATCAGCGCCAGATCGAGGCCCCTGCGGTGGATGAGTGGGTGCGGCGCTCGGAGGAGACGTGGAACACTGCACATATCCATCTGCAGCGAGCCATCCGTCGACATAAGACGAGCGCCGATCTCCACCGCAGTGAGGGGCCAGTGTACGCACCTGGAGATCGAGTCTGGCTCTCGACCAGAAACCTGCCCCTCCGCCTGCCCTGCCGGAAGCTGGGTTGGCGGTTTGTGGGGCCTTTTAAAGTCCTGAGGAGATTGAACGAGGTGTGTTACAGGTTACAACTGCCAATTGATTACAAGAATATTAACCCCTCGTTCCATGTGTCTCTCCTCAGGCCGGTGGTAGCTGGTCCACTCCAGGACTATGAGATAGAAGAGACTCCTCCGCCCCCGCTGGACATCGAGGGGGCTCCAGCGTACACTGTTCGGTCCATCCTAGATTCGAGACGCCGGATGGGGGGTCTCCAATATCTCGTGGAGTGGGAGGGGTACGGCCCGGAGGAGCGGTGCTGGGTGCTGAGGAGGGACATCCTAGACCCGTCTCTTCTGACCGATTTCCATCGTGGTCATCCCACGCGCCCTGCTCCGCGTCTTTCTGGTCTTCCTCGAGGCTGGGGTCGGCGCACGGCTGGAGCCGCGCGTCAAGGGGGGGGTACTGTCACGGTTTCGGCCGAGGCTGCTCCTTCTCCTTGTTCGGGCAGGCTTCGGCGGTCGTCGTCTCCGGAGTACTAGCTGCCACCGTTCTATGTTTCGATGTTTGATTGGTTTTGTCTGTTTTGTTACACCTGTTCCTTGTTAGTGTTAATTATGCGTCCTATAAGTTCTCCTGAGTTTTGTCATGTGTTGTGTGTAATTGTTCGTTGTCACTGTGGGATGCTAGTTCGTTTTTTTCTCTCTGTTCGGTTTAGTAGAGAGCTCTGCACTTTTGTGCCTTTGTATGTACTTTACCGGTGTGCGTAAAGTTCGCTTGCCTGCCAGGTTGAATGTAGCCGTGTTTGGCTTGTTCTTTTTTTGTCTTCACTAAAGACGTCAGTACCAAGCCTCTGTGTGTCCTGCGCTTGATTCCACACCACTTCTACACTCAACTATGACATCAGTGTTATTTCATGATTGTTCCTAGTTGAAAATATGATGTACTGCACATAGGACCTTCTAATTAGCAGGTTTGCATTTGAGGGAGGATCGGCTTTCCATGGTGACATTAAAATGTTAATAGAAATTAGTTAATAGACCAATAACAAAGAGAGTTCCAAATCTCTCTGCCAATAACAGCTAGTTTTTCGTTTTCCCCTCCCCACTCAGACCACTCTCAGACAGTCTTAGATGCAGGTGCTGAGGGGGAGGACTAGACCGGTGATAGTGTTGAGGACTAGACCAGTGATAGTACTGAGGACTGACCAGTGATAGTACTGAGGACTGACCAGTGATAGTGTTGATGACTAGACCCGTGATGTTCAGGACTAGACCAGTGATAGTACTGAGGATGACCAGTGTGGTGAGGCAAACCATAAAGGTTAGGACAGCCCCATGATATGTTCGGGAAATAAACAGTGATGTGTTGGGAACTAGACCAGGATAGTGTTCAGGACTAGAACAGTGATAGTGTTCAGGAGTAGACCAGTGATAGTGTTAGGGACTAGTACAGTGATAGTGTTCAGGACTAGACAAGTGATAGTGTTAGGGACTAGACCAGTGATAGTGTTCAGGACTAGACCAGTGATAGTGTTGAGGAGTAGACCAGCGATAGTGTTAGGGACTAGACCAGTGATAGTGTTGAGGACTAGACCAGTGATAGTACTGAGGACTAGACCAGTGATAGTGTTCAGGACTAGACCAGTGATAGTGTTTGAGGACTAGACCAGTGATAGTGGTTGAGGACTAGACCAGTGATAGTGTTGAGGACTAGACCAGTGATAGTACTGAGGACTAGATCAGTGATAGTACTGAGGACTAGACCAGTGATAGTACTGAGGACTAGACCAGTGATAGTGTTAGGGACTAGACCAGTGATAGTGTTGAGGACTAGATCAGTGATAGTACTGAGGACTAGACCAGTGATAGTGTTGAGGACTAGACCAGTGATAGTGTTCGTTGAGGACGAGACCAGTGATAGTGTTCAGGACTAGAACATGTAGTTGTTCGGAACTAGACCAGTGATAGTGTTCAGGACTAGACCAGTGATAGTGTTAAGGACTAGAACAGTGATAGTGTTCAGGACAAGAACAGTGATAGTGTTCAGGAGTAGACCAGTGATAGTGTTAGGGACTAGAACAGTGATAGTGTTCAGGACTAGACCAGTGATAGTGTTCAGGACTAGACCAGTGATAGTGTTAGGGACTAGAACAGTGATAGTTGTTGAGGACTAGACAGTGATAGTGTTGAGGACTAGACCAGTGTTGGTGTTGAGGACTACAGTCTAGAGTATCATAGGTTCCCTCTATTATTTGACCGACAACACCCTCAAAATGAAAACAGTCACACAATGGATGATATACACTGAGTGCACAAAAACATTAGGAACATTCCATGACAGACTGACAGGTGAATCCAGGTGAAAGCTGTGATCGCTTATTGATGTCACTTGATAAATCCACTTCAATCAGTGTAGATGAAGGGGAGGAGACAGGTTATAGAATGATTTTTAAGCCTTGAGACAATTAAGACATGGATTGTGTATGTGTGCCATTCAGAGAGTGAATGGGCAAAACAAAATATTGAAGTGCCTTTTAACGGGGTATGGTAGTAGGTGCCAGGCGCACCGGTTTGTGTGTCAAGAACTGCAACGCTGCTGGGTTTTTCACAGTCAACAGTTTCCCATGTGTATCAAGAATGGTCCACCACCCAAAGGACATTCAGCCAACGGCAGGCCAGTGGTCGAAAACGGGTATTGATGAAAGAGGACAAAGGAGGCTGACATGAATTGTGCAGAGCAACAGACGGGCTACAGTTAGTCAACTGACAGACTAGTACAACATTTGTGACCAAAGACCCATAAAAGAATGCACAACTCATCGTACCTTGACACGAATGGGGTATGGCAGCCGACATCCTTACAAAGTTACACTTCTTTCAGCAAAAAACAAGAAACTGAGTTTGCAGTGGGCTATGGAATGGAAATACTGGACACTGGAGAATTGGAAAAATATTGCTTGATCTAATGAATCCCTGTTCCTGCTGTTTCACGCTGATGGGAGGACTAGGGTATGGAGAAAACCACATGAGTACATGCATCCAAAAAGCTGTGTGTCAACGTTGGTGGTGTGATGGTGTGGGGTGTGTTTTTCATAGCACACATTGGTCCCCTTGATAAAAGTGGAGCAACGTTTAAATTGCCAATCAGGTGCATCCCTTCATGGCAGAAGTGTATCTATCTGCAAATTGATTTTTTCATCAGTATAATGCCCCATGCCACAAGGCTAGGATTGTCCAGGAATAGTTCCACGAACATGACATTGAATTCAGCTTACCGCAGTGGCCTGCCCAGTCACCAGATCTCAATAAAATGAGCATCTGTGGGATGAGATGGAACGAGCAATTCAGAGTAGAGATCCACCACCAGCCAACTTGACACAACTGTGGGAAGCATTGGAGTCAACATGGGCCAGCATCCCTGTGGAAGGAACACTTTCGACACCTTATAGAGTCCATGACCCGACAAATTGAGTCTGCTCTGAGGGCAAAAGTGGGTGGAACTAAATATTTGGAATGCGTTCCTAATATCTTGGACACTCAGTGTATATCCCATACATTACCAAATGAGGCATACGTTATCTGCCTTGCTCCAGGAGGCCCATTTGCATAGAGAGGACACTTTGCATAGACAGCACATGCTTCAGAGGTCTGGGAGTGTTTATATCCCTATGAGTTTACACTTCATGACTGAGAGCTGTCCTTCATGAAAACAGAACCCACAACAACCATGACTTTTATCACCATCTTTATCTGGATATTTGCCCTCTGGATTCAAGGTAAAATATTTGACAGAAAATGACCCGGATCATAGCAATAAATATATAACCTCATTACAGTTTTAGTGAATATGCTATATGGACAAATTAATAAACAATTGAATGCTAATTCTACATGCAATCTCTGTTTCAGAATCCAGAGGCCAGGTCACTGTGACTCAGACTCCTGCAGTGAAAACTGTTTCAGTGGGTCACTCAGTCAGTCTGAGCTGTAAGACCAGCAGTGCTGTATTCAGTGACAGCAATGGACAGTCGTTGGCCTGGTACCAACAGAAACCTGGAGGAGCTCCTAAACTCCTAATATACTTGGCTAAAACCATTCAGTCTGGGACTCCATCTAGATTCAGTGGCAGTGGATCTGGGAGTGACTTCACTCTGACCATCAGTGGAGTCCAGGCTGAAGATGCAGGAGATTACTACTGTCAGAGTTTACACTATCCCAATAGTGTCTGGGTGTTCACACAGTGATACAGAGCTGTACAAAAACCTCCCTCAGTCAGACTGCACAGTGACTGTACTGCTACAGCTGGGACCTACTGCAGGTGCTGAGGGGAGGAGACAGTGACATGGAACACTAGATGAGGTCAACTGTGACATGTGACAATATGGTTAGAAAGCAATCGTTCAGTTCACATGACCATCATCATCATCATTAACATCATCATCATGGTTTTAACTTGTTATATTTGTCATGGCCTTTAAGTGTGTATAACATTTATTTGAAGTTTTGAAACACATTACCTGTCAATATGTAAAGCAAGATCTACAGATGTAAAACAAAAGGTATTCTGACCTCAACATTACTTCAAAGTTACAATCACTTCAGCCCCCCAAAACAAGTCCCAAAATGGACCTCAACCAAATGTCTGATTTAAATTGTGATCTTCTACCGTTATATTAACTGTTTTCATGAGCAGGTTACTGACTGTTAGATCTGTGAATGAGACATGATGCTGGATTCAAACATGAGACACATGTACACTACATACACTATCTATGTAAAGTATAATATCCATTTTATCTGTAATTAATTACATGGTGGCATATCTGTTATGAGTCCCTCCCTGAATCCACCATAGAGGTTAAGACCAGTCCACTCCCTCACATCTGGCCCAGTCCAGGATATTACAGGCAGTGAAACTGTTCAACTACTAGACTGGTATCTGTGGGAGTGAAACTGAGATTTGCATAGACAGGGCAAGATGTGAGGGAGTGTGGGTGGTTCTGCTTGTCCCAGAATAGAGCAGCACTGTCACCAGATGTTCACTCTGTTCCCAGGGGGTTGGAGGTAGAGAAGACTGTCACTACACTATATAGCAGCGTTTCCAAAACTCGGTCCTCTGGACCCCAAGGGGTGCACGTTTTGGTTTTTGCCCTAGGTTTACACAGCTGATAAAAAATTATAAGCTAATCATTCGAGCTTTGATAATTTGAATCAGCTGTGTAGTGTTAGGGTAAAAAACTAAATGTGCACCCCTTGGGGTCCCGAGGACCGAGTTTGGGAAACACTGCTACATCTTGAAGTAGTACCACTTGTAATATTTGTAATTTAAAAATATATATATATTTAGCGTCGAATCACAGCCTACAACACACGTGAGAGTCCAAGATATCGGTTGACTGTTTGATAGTTATTATTTTATTACTGTAAAGTCTGTCAAGTCAAACAGGTCTGACACAGACTCAGTATCCTGATGAATGAAGACAGTGAACTACTACCATGGCAGAACCTCTTCTATTATATCATAATATATTGTGATAGTATTAAATACTGGTCCATTATGATGTTAGAGTGAGTTTTAGACTTGACAGTTTTTAAAGACACCATTAATCAGCCTTACTGAATACATATTTTTCCAGAATATTACAAATATACAGTATCTATGATACTGTTTATTAATAGAAACAACAAAAATATGCATTTCAAAAAGAAATATTTATTTTAATCCATTATCACACAATCGAAGCATCAAAGCAAACATGATAGTGAATAAAAGCAGATCACATCAAATCTAAAACGAACACAATCTCAATCTACAGAATGGATTGACACATGAACTCAAGCCAAGCCCCCTGTTAGTCCACACCAGAGTGATCTCTAAATCAGAGAATTACTGATTTTAGAGCAAAGCTAGTCAAAGCAGAGGAACCAGCATCCTCTCTCCACAGGGGTGTGTGACTGAGGGGTCCTACCCAGAACAGTCAGCCCTCCTCAGGGTCTTGGTGACTGGAGTCTGGGATTTCTGCTGGGCTTCACAGGTCACCTCTCCTGCCTTGGTCCACTCCTGGGCAGTGAGAGTCAGTGTGCTGCTCCAGCTGTACAGGCCGTCCTTCTCCAGGACCCCGGGACTGACCTCCTGCTTCTTGCTGGTCCCGTCCACTTTCCAGCTCATGGTCCAGTCTGAGGGGAAGCCCTTGTTGGCCAGACACATCAGCGTGGCTGTTGACTTACTGGACAGCTCCTCACTAGAGGGGGGCAGGACGGGTTGGGGAACTGTTACCTGGAACAAACAGAATATATCAACTACATCAAAACAAAGTACTTTGGAAATTACTTCTAAAACTTAGATTAGATTGCTAAAAGACGTGAAGAAAACACAAACATTAGTGTGATATGAAAGCAGATTAAAGTATAAAGTATACAAGCAGAAAGCATACAAGTATGACGTGTTTAACTTTAGCATTACTTTGTCATACATATATTTTTTTAGGATCGTTTCTCATCAGAATACTCATATTTGTAGTATTTTGCAGAATCCAAGAGGTTGGATACAAACATAACAGAGACCCTTTGTGGCTATCATGAACACAATGCACTGATGACTACAATAACAAATATTATAGTTATCATACCAGAATAAGAGTTATATAGTCTGCAATCATACAAATAAAACATACAAAAAAATTCCCGCAATTTAACATTTTGATTAAATAAACTGTTGAAAGAAGGCTCTTTCAAAATCAATATATAACAATATTTTTGGAAAGTAAATTATCTCAAATCTAAATGTTTTAATAGAGATTAAAGAGTTTAAGAAAATTAATGGAATCAGACAAACATCAAGAAACTTACTTCCAACATCAAGTCTGGTGCCTCTGCCAAAAGTGTACCACAGTGATACAATCCCTATAACTGCTGGTACAAAAACCTCCTGACCATTGGGCAAGCTGAATACTTAATTTTTTTAGACTGTGGTTTAAATCATGAGCACATAGGAATACTGGCCTAATATAATGTTATATTCTTCATTTGAAATCGTTTTTTGATTAAATGAAAAACATTATAGTTTTATTATAAAATAGAAAGGTATATAACAAACCCTAAAATGTTAGAGAAATGTTCAGTAACTGATTTGAGAAACTTTCATAAGAGTCCAAGCATGAGTGAAGTGACAGTTAGGGCTGTATTCAATCTGTATCGCTGAAGCCTTTACATTTCAATTGGGCTTTAGCGCTGAACTTCAGCAATACGGATTGAATAGAGCCCTTCATCTGAAATAAAAGCTGTATCGTTGAAGTGTTACAGATTGCCGGATAGAAATGTCAAGATAATTTTTGATTGAGCTGACATATTACATTTACTTCACTTAGCAGATGTTCTTATCCAGAGGGACTTACAGGAGCAATAAGGGCCTTACTAAAGGGCACATCGACAGACTTTTCACCTAGTAGGCTCAGGGATTCGAACTAGCGACCTCTTAACCGCTAGGCTACCTGCCACCCCATATGCAGCGTTTACCGTGAATGCAGTCTCCGCTAACACAGGAACATTGCCTTTAAATTCCAATCACGCTTAACGCTGAACTTCAGCAATACGGATTGAATAGACCCCTTCATCTTGATGCTTGTCATTTGCTTTCAAGTTGAAGTTGCTGTTGAATTCTAAAGCATATTATGTTAAAGAAAACTGATCTTAAATGGAATCTGATCTTGACAATGTGTTATTATTTTCTCAGTATCCCGAGGGCAGATCACTATGACTCAGATCCTGCAGTGAAAGCTGTCCTTTCAGGTCACATACTGCAGTTACTCTCCACTGCTGTAAAACCACCAGTAATCCATTAAAGGCTCTGTGCAGTCAAAATTCAGTTTTTCTTGTGTTTTATATAATATTGTACAACAGCTGATGAAACTAACACTGTAAAAGTATGAAAAAAATGGATCAGTGTTATTTCATGATTGTTCCTAGTTGAAAATATGATGTACTGTACATAGGACCTTCTAATTAGCACGTTTGCATTTGAGGGAGGTTCGGCTTTCCATGGTGACATTACCATGTAGCAAATTAGTTAATAGACCAATAACAAAGAGAGTTCCAAATCTCTCTGCCAATAACAGCTATTTTTCCTTTTTCCCCTCTCCCACTCAGACCACTCTCAGACAGTCTTAGCTGCAGGTGCTGTGGAGGAGGACTAGACCAGTGATAGTGTTGAGGACTAGACCAGCGATAGTGTTAGGGACTAGACCAGTGATAGTGTTGAGGACTAGACCAGTGATAGTACTGAGGACTAGACCAGAGAGAGTGTTCAGGACTAGACCAGTGATAGTACTGAGGACTAGACCAGTGATAGTGTTCAGGACTAGACCAGTGATAGTGTTGAGGACTAGACCAGTGATAGTGTTGAGGACTAGACCAGTGATAGTGTTGAGGACTAGATCAGTGATAACGAGGACTAGACCAGTGATCGCTACTGAGGAACTAAGACCATGATAGTACTGACGGATATACCCATGAATAGTATATGTAGGGACTAGACCAGTGATAGTGTTGAGAACTAGATCAGTGATTAGTACTGAGGACTAGACCAATGATAGTTGTTGAGGACTGACCAGTGACTAGTTGTTCAGGACTAGACCAGTGATAGTACCGATGATTAGACCAGTGATCGTGTTTTGAGGATACCAGTGATAGTGTAGAGCTATACCAGAGTGATAGTACTGAGGATAGACCAGTATAGTGATTGAGGACTAGACCAGTATAGTGTTCAGACTAAGACCAATATGATATGTTCATCATGACTATACAAAGGGATGTGTTCAGGACTGACAGTGATAGTGTTGATGACTAGACCAGTGTGTCTGAGGACAATAACCTTGTGATAGTGTTCACGGACTAACAAGTGAAAGTGTTTAGGGACTAGAAACAGTATAGTGTTGAGTGACTAGACCAGTGATAGTGTTCATGACTAGACCAGTGATAGTGTTAGGGACTAGAACAGTGATAGTGTTCAGGACTAGACCAGTGATAGTGTTGAGGACTAGACCAGTGATAGTGTTGAGGACTAGACCAGTGATAGTGTTCAGGACTAGACCAGTGATAGTGTTGAGGACTAGACCAGTGCTAGTGTTAGGGACTAGACCAGTGATAGTGTTCGGGACTAGACCAATGATAGTGTTGAGGACTAGACCAGTGTTGGTGTCGAGGACTACAGTCTAGAGTTTTATAGGTTCCCTTTATTATTTGACCGACCAACACCTCAAAATGAAAACAGTCACACAATGGATGATATACACTGAGTGCACAAAACATTAGGAACATTCCATGACATACTGACAAGTTGAATCCAGGTGAAAGCTGTGATCGCTTATTGATGTCACTTGATAAATCCACTTCAATCAGTGTAGATGTTGAAGTGCCTTTTAACGGGGTATGGTACTAGGTGCCAGGCGCACCGGTTTGTGTGTCAAGAACTGCAACGCTGCTGGGTTTTTCACAGTCAACAGTTTCCCATGTGTATCAAGAATGGTCCACCACCCAAAGGACATTCAGCCAACGGCAGGCCAGTGGTCGAAAACGGGTAATTGATGGAAGAGGACAAAGGAGCCTGACATGAATTGTGCAGAGCAACAGACGGGCTACAGTTAGTCAACTGACAGACTAGTACAACATTTGTGACCAAAGACCCATAAAAGAATGCACAACTCATCGTACCTTGACACGAATGGGGTATGGCAGCCGACATCCTTACAAAGTTACACTTCTTTCAGCAAAAAAACAAGAAACTGAGTTTGCAGTGGGCTATGGAACGGAAATACTGGACACTGGAGAATTGGAAAAATATTGCTTGATCTGATGAATCCCTGTTCCTGCTGTTTCACGCTGATGGGAGGACTAGGGTATGGACAAAACCACATGAGTACATGCATCCAAAAAGCTGTGTGTCAACGTTGGTGGTGTGGTAGTGTGGGGCGTGTTTTCATGGCACACATTGGGCCCTTGATAAAAGTGGAGCAACGTTTAAATTGCCAATCAGGTGCATCCCTTCATGGCTGTGGGAAGCATAGGAGTCAACATGGGCCAGCATCCCTGTGGAAGGAACACTTTCGACACCTTATAGAGTCCATGACCCGACAAATTGAGTCTGCTCTGAGGGCAAAATTGGGGGTGGAACTCAATATTAGGAAGGCGTTCCTAATGTCTTGGACACTCAGTGTGTATCCCATATATTACCAAATGAGGCATACGTTATCTGCCTTGCTCCAGGAGTCCCATTTGCATAGAGAGGATACTTTGCATTGGCAGCACATGCTTCAGTGGTCTGGGAGTGTTGATATCCCTGTGAGTTTAACACTTCATGACTGAGAGCTGTCCTTCATGACAACAGACTCCACAACAACCATTACTTTTATCACCATCTTTATCTGGATATTTGCCCTCTGGATTCAAGGTAAAATATTTGACTGTGACAGCAATGGACAGTGGTTGGCCTGGTACCAACAGAAACCTGGAGGAGCTCCTAAACTCCTAATATACTTGGCTAAAACCATTCAGTCTGGGACTCCATCTAGATTCAGTGGCAGTGGATCTGGGAGTAACTTCACTCTGACCATCAGTGGAGTCCAAACTAAGTTAGTCTATTCCTAGAAAACATTGAACCGCTGTAGTTTACAACAATTATAGTTTCTGAGGTGGAAGTTGGGAGAGTTATATTTGGGTGTTTCAGTGAAACGTAAGTGAGGGAGGCCCCACTCTCTCGCTTTCCCAGATGTTTAGTTCATTTCATTCCGATCTCCTTTGCATTATTGTAGCCATTTTATGTAGCCTGTCAACTATGCGTCTGTTTATCCATGTTCTCTCCTCTCCGCACAGGCTATACAAACGCCTCACACCGCGTGGCTGCTACCACTCTAACCTGGTGGTCCCTGCACGCACAACCCACGTGGAGTTCCAGGTCTCCGGCAGCCTCTGGAACTGCCGTTCTGCGGCCAACAAGGCAGAGTTCATCTCAGCCTATGCTACCCTCCAGTCCCTCGACTTCTTGGCGCTGACGGAAACATGGATTACCACTGAAAACACTGCTACTCCTAATGCTCTCTCCTCGTCTGACCATGTGTTCTCGCATACCCGAGAGCATCTGGTCAGCGGGGTGGTGGCACAGGAATCCTCATCTCTCCCAAGTGGACATTCTCAATTTTTCCCCTAACCCATCTGTCTATCTCCTCATTTGAATTCCATGCTGTCACAGTCACTAGCCCATTCAAGCTTAACATCCTTATCATTTATCGCCCTCCAGGTTCCCTTGGAGAGTTCATCAATGAGCTTGACAAGTTCCTTTCCTGAGGATGGCTCACCCCTCACAGTTCTGGGTGACTTTAACCTCCCTACATCTACCTTTGACTCATTTCTCTCTGCCTCCTTCATTCCACTCCTCTCCTCTTTTGACCTCACCCTCTCACCGTCCCCCCTACTCACAAGGCAGGCAATACGCTTGACCTCATCTTTACTAGATGCTGTTCTTCTACTAATCTCACTGCAACTCCCCTCCATGTCTCCGACCACTACTTTGTATCCTTTTCTCTCTCGCTCTCCTCCAACACTACTCACTCTGCCCCTACTCAGATGGTAATGCGCCGTTGCAACCTTCGTTCTCTCTCTCCCGCTACTCTCTCCTCTTCCATCCTACCATCATTTTCTTCCCTCTGCTCAATCCTTCTCCCTCCAATCTCCTGATTCTGCCTCCTCAACCCTCCTCTCCTCCCTTTCTGCATCCTTTGACTCTCTATGTCCCCTATCCTCCCGGCTGGCTCGGTCCTCCCCTCCTGCTCCGTGACTTGACGACTCATTACGAGCTCACAGAACAGGGCTCCGGGCAGCCGAGCGGAAATTGAGGAAAACTAGACTCCCTGTGGACCTGGCGTCTTTTCACTCCCTCCTCTCTACATTTTCTTCCTCTGTTTCTGCTGCTAAAGCCACTTTCTACCACTCTAAATTCCAAGCATCTGCCTCTAACCCTAGGAAGCTCTTTGCCACCTTCTCCTCCCTGCTGAAACCTCCTCCCCATCCCCCCCCCTCCTCCCTCTCTGTGGATGACTTCGTCAACCATTTTGAAAAGAAGGTTGACGACATCTGATCCTCGTTTGTTAAGTCAAATGACACTGCTGGTCCTGCTCACACTGCCCTACCCTATGCTTTGACTTATTTCTCCCCTCTCTCTCCAGATGAAATCTTGCGACTTGTGACGGCCGGCCGCCGAATTACCTGCCCGCTTGACCCTATCCCCTCCTCTCTTCTCCAGACCATTTCCGGAAACTTTCTCCCTTACCTCACCTCGCTCATCAACTCATCCTTGACCGCTGGCTATGTCCCTTCCGTCTTCAAGAGAGCGAGAGTTGCACCCCTTCTCAAAAAACCTACACTCGATCACTCCGATGTCAACAACTACAGACCAGTATCCCTTCTTTATTTTATCTCCAAAACTCTTGAGCGTGCCGTCTTTAGCCAACTCTCTTACTATCTCTCTCAGAATGACCTTCTTGATCCAAACCAGTCAGGTTTCAAGACTGGTCATTCAACTGAGACTGCTCTTCTCTGTGTCACGGAGGCTCTCCGCACTGCTAAAGCTAACTCTCTCTCCTCTGCTCTTGTCCTTCTAGACCTGTCTGCTGCCTTTGATACTGTGAATCATCAGATCCTCCTCTCCACCCTCTCCGAGTTGGGCATCTCCGGCGATGGCTCACTCTTGGATTGCGTCCTACCTGACAGGTCGCTCCTACCAAGTGGGGTGGCGAGAATCTGTCTCCGCACCACGTGCTCTCACCACTGGTGTCCCCCAGGGCTCAGTTCTAGGCCCTCTCCTATTCTCGCTAATCACCAAGTCACTTGGCTCTGTCATGTCCTCACATGGCCTCTCCTATCATTGCTACGCAGACGACACACAACTAATCTTCTCCTTTCCCCCTTCTGATAACCAGGTGGCGAATCGCATCTCTGCATGTCTGGCAGACATATCAGTGTGGATGACGGATCACCACCTCAAGCTGAACCTCGGCAAGACTGAGCTGCTCTTCCTCCCGGGGAAGGACTGCCCGTTCCATGATCTCACCATCACGGTTGACAACTCCGTTGTGTCCTCCTCCCAGAGTGCAAAGAGCCTTGGCAACACCCTGTCGTTCTCCACTAACATCAAGGCGGTGAGCCGATCCTGTAGGTTCATGCTCTACAACATTCGGAGAGTACGACCCTGCCTTACACAGGAAGCGGCACAGGTCCTAATCCAGGCACTTGTCATCTCCCGTCTGGATTACTGCAACTCGCTGTTGGCTGGGCTCCCTGCCTGTGCCATTAAACCCCTACAACTCATCCAGAATGCCGCAGCCCGTCTGGTGTTCAACCTTCCCAAGTTCTCTCACGTCACCCTGCTCCTCCGCGCACTCCACTGGCTTCCAGTTGAAGCTCGCATCTGTTACAAGACCATGGTGCTTGCCTATGGAGCTGTGAGGGGAACGGCACCTCCGTACCTTCAGGCTCTGATCAGTCCCTACACCCAAACGAGGGCATTGCGTTCATCCACCTCTGGCCTGCTGGCCCCCCTACCTCTGCGGAAGCACAGTTCCCGCTCAGCCCAGTCAAAACTGTTCGCTGCTCTGGCACCCCAATGGTGGAACAAGCTCCCTCACGACACCAGGACAGCGGAGTCACTCACCACCTTCCGGAGACACTTGAAACCCCACCTCTTTAAGGAATACCTGGGATAGGATAAAGTAATCCTTCTACCCCCCCTTACCCCACCCCAAAGAAATAAAAAAAAACATATTGTAAAGTGGTTATCCCACTGGCTATAAGGTGAATGCACCAATTTGTAAGTCACTCTGGATAAGAGCGTCTGCTAAATGATGTAAATGTAAATAAAAATGAGTCCAGGCTGAAGATGCAGGAGATTACTACTGTCAGAGTGAACACTACATTAATAGTAAATATGTGTTCACACAGTGATATAGAGCCATACAAAAACCTCCCTCAGTCAGACTGCACAGTGACTGTACTGCTACAGCTGGGACCTACTGCAGGTGCTGTGGGGGAAGAGACAGTGACATGGAACACTAGATGAGGTCAACTGTGACATGTGACAATATGGTTAGAAAGCAATCGTTCAGTTCACATGACCATCATCATCATCATTAACATCATCATCATGGTTTTAACTTCTTATATTTGTCATGGCCTTTAAGTGTGTATAACATTTATTTGAAGTTTTGAAACACATTACCTGTCAATATTTAAAGCAAGATCTACAGATGTAAAACAAAAGGTGTTCTGACCTCAACATTACTTCCAAGTTACAATCACTTCTGCCCCCCAAAACAAGTCCCAAAATGGACCTCAACCAAATGTCTGATTTAAATTGTGATCTTCTACCGTTATATTAACTGTTTTCATGAGCAGGTTACTGACTGTTAGATCTGTGAATGAGACATGATGCTGGATTCAAACATGAGACACATGTACACTACATACACTATCTATGTAAAGTATAATATCCATTTTATCTGTAATTAATTACATGGTAGCATATCTGTTATGAGTCCCTCCCTGAATCCACCATAGAGGTTAAGACCAGTCCACTCCCTCACATCTGGCCCAGTCCAGGGTATTACAGGCAGTGAAACTGTTCAACTACTAGACTGGTATCTGTGGGAGTGAAACTGAGATTTGCATAGACAGGGCTGGGTGGTTCTGCTTGTCCCAGAATAGAGCAGCACTGTCACCAGATGTTCACTCTGTTCCCAGGGGGTTGGAGGTAGAGAAGACTGTCACTACACTATATAGCAGCGTTTCCCAAACTCGGTCCTCTGGACCCCAAGGGGTGCACGTTTTGGTTTTTGCTCTAGGTTTACACAGCTGATAAAAAATTATAAGCTAATCATTCGAGCTTTGATAATTTGAAACAGCTGTGTAGTGTTAGGGTAAAAAACTAAATGTGCACCCCTTGGGGTCCCGAGGACCGAGTTTGGGAAACACTGCTACATCTTGAAGTAGTACCACTTGTAATATTTGTAATTTAAAAATATATATATTTAGCGTCGAATCACAGCCTATAACACACGTGAGAGTCCAAGATATCGGTTGACTGTTTGATAGTTCTTCTTTTATTACTGTAAAGTCTGTCAAGTCAAACATGTCTGACACAGACTCAGTATCCTTATGAATGAAGACAGTCAACTACTACCATGGCAGAAACTCTTGTATTATATCATAGTATATTGTGATAGTATAAAATACTGGTCAATTATGATGTTAGAGTGAGTTTTAGACTTGACAGTTTTTAAAGACACCATTAATCAGCCTTACTGAATACATATTTTTCCAGAATATTGCAAATATACAGTATCTATGATCCAGTTTATTAATAAAAACAACAAAAATATGCATTCCAAAAAGAAATCTTTATTTAAATCCATTATCACAAAATCGAAGCATCAAAGCAAACATGATAGTGAATAAAAGCAGATCACATTAAATCTAAAAAAAACAAAATCTCAATCTACAGAATGGATTGACACATGAACTCAAGCCTAGCCCCCTGTTAGTCCACACCAGAGTGATCACTAAATCAGAGAACGACTGATTTTAGAAAAAAGCAAGTCAAAGCAGAGGAACAAGCATCCTTGTTCCTCTGCTTTGTTCTCCACAGAGGTGTGACTGAGGGGTCCTACCCAGAACAGTCAGCCCTCCTCAGGGTCTTTGTGACTGGAGTCTGGGATTTCTGCTGGGCTTCACAGGTCACCTCTCCTGCCTTGGTCCACTCCTGGGCAGTGAGAGTCAGTGTGCTGCTCCAGCTGTACAGGCCGTCCTTCTCCTGGACCCCGGGACTGGCCTCCTGCTTCTTGCTGGTCCCGTCCACTTTCCAGCTCATGGTCCAGTCTGAGGGGAAGCCCTTGTTGGCCAGACACATCAGTGTGGCTGTTGTTGTACTGGACAGCTCCTCACTAGAGGGTGGCAGGACGGTGAGGGTGGGGGAACTGTTACCTGGAACAAACAGAACACATCAACTAAGTAACTACATCAAGTACAGTTACAGTAAGAGCTTATCTTCAGCAAAGGACAAATCAAAATAAAGTGATTTGGAAATGCCTTCTAAATATTAATGTAAAAGTTAGATTGGTAAAAGATGTGGATAAAACACAAACTGTAATATGATAAAGCAGAATAATGAACCGAACAAGTATTAAGTAAGTAGAGTTACAAGTCATACAGCGTCAGTTATACATGTCATACAGATATTATTTAGGAATTGATCTGATCAGAATAGCCTTCTCATATTCATAGTATTTGCAAAATCTGAGCAAAAATTAGTTTTAATCACATATCAACCATGTTAGTTCATGAAGTTGGTTACAAACATAACTGAGACTTTTTGTCTTCACACTAACAGTGAAGGCTACCATGAACTCAATACAACAATAATGACTACTATATCCAATGCTATTAAATAGTGATCCTACCAAAATTAAGAGTTGTAGTCTGCAATCATACAAATCAGACAAAAATAAACCTACAATTTAACATTTCGATTCAATAAAATTTTATTAGAACGAAGGGTCAGTCAAAAGCAATTAAAACATTTTGAAAATCTAAAATCGCAATATTTTCATAGACAGAGTGTAAGAATAACATACTTAATAAGTGTAATCAGAAAAAATATCAAGTGAGCTTGTTACTTACTTCCAACATCTAGTCTGGTGCCGCTACCAAAAGTGTACCACAGTGATACAATCCCTATTACTGATCGTACAAAAACCTCTCTGTGTTGTGATGCTGCAGCTGTTACAGTGAAGATCACTCATACAGAATCATAATCAACACAAATACACTTTAACATCTTCCAGGTAGAACAAACACTTTATATAAGCTGTTTCTAGATAATACAAATATGATTTGTATCTTAAAACCAGATATTAGTATTTTTTCCTTCCTCTGTGTATCAGATGTTCTCCTAGTCTGTAAGTACTGTCCAGTATTAGCTCCAGTGTTGCTAGTAGTCCTCCATATTGTCCAAATGAAAGACAACAGCAGCAGCAGTACTGATAGTGATCCATGTTTTATATTCCTTTATTAAAGATGTTGATCTCAGATTTAACAGTTGTGGTAAAGTCACAGACAGACAACACTACCAGAGGAATCCTACCAGCTTTAGTTTAGAGAAGTGTTCACTAACTGATTAGAGGAACTTACATAAGAGACCAAGCATGAGTGAACAGACAGTTAATTATGTCTGATCATCATCAGAATAAAAATAAATGGTGGTGTGACATAAAAGTTGCCATACATAAGTTATTTGAGTAAAAGTTGCTGTTTGATGTTAGAGCGTTGGCCTATTTACCAAAAGGCTGCTAGTTCAAATCCCCAGGACGACATGGCGAAACATCTGTCGATGTGCCCTTTAGCAAGGCACTTAACCCTAATTGCTCCAGGGTCGCCGTTTATAATGGCAGATGCTGGCCGTGACCCCACTCTCTGAGGATGTCTCAGGGGGAGTTGGGATATCCCCCCCAAAAAACATATCCAATCCCCGTATAATACACATGTGTGAAATAGGACAAATATAAGCACCCACCTAATTACTATTATTAGAAAAGCAAACTTATGCAAGATAATTATATTCTTATGATGGGAGCCTACTTGGAAACTGAAATAGATTTGAAACACTCATTTGCATAATGCATCTGCTCTAAGAGTGTTTATAGCGCTGTGAGTTTAACACTTGATGACTGAGAGCTGTCCTTCATGACAACAGAACCCACAACAACCATGACTTTTATCACCATCTGGACACTTGCTTTCAAGGTGGTACTACTCCTCCTCCTCCTCCTCCTCCTCCTCCTCCTCCTCCTCCTGACAGGGAGACTAGCTGGAGGAGAGAGGCGGGTCAGCTACCACAACTCTATAGTAGGAGAGGAGAGGGGAGAAGAGGAGTGGAGAGGGTCATCAACTACTACTATTACTACTACTACTACTACAACAACAAAAACAACAACAACTACTACTACTACTACTACTACTACTACTACTACTACTACTAGATATGTTTTAAGATCTCTTTTAAATATTTCCACATTTTCGGCCCCCTCGGGTTCTCTGGCAGGCTATACCTGAGGCTGGGGGCATAATAACTAAAGGCTGCCTCTCAATGTCTCTTCGTCCTAGGCTTTGGGATAGTTAAAAGGCCACTGCCAGAGGACCTGAGGGACCTACTGGGAACATAACTTAAAAGCATGTCTGACATGTATTGGGGTGCACAATCGTGGATTGATTTAAAAAACAATCTTAAAATTAATTCTAAAACTCACAGGCAGCCAGTGCAGAGATCTTTAAAGCGCTGTAATGTGTACTCTACGTCAGGTCTTGATCAGTACCCATGCTGCAGCATTCTGTATGTTTTGCAGTTGACCAATGGCTTTCATGGGTAGACCAGACAGGAGAGCATCACAGCAGTCAAGCCTGCTTGTATTGAAAGCATTGATGAGTCTCTCTGTATCAGTCTGAGAGCGAAACGGCCGCATCTTGGCAATGTTCCTCAGGTGGTAAAAAGCTATTTTGGTCACATTCCTAATGTGTGATTCGAAATTTTATTCAGAATCTAAAATAACACCTAGGTTTTTTTACCTGGTGTTTTATCTTTATTGCCCGTTAATTAAAATGTGTGACTAGATTCTCTCTCTGTTATTTGGCTCCAACAATAAGTCCCTCCGTGTCACACCCTGACATAGAGTTTGTTAGTTGGTTTGGTCAGGGTGTGAGTATCTATGTAATGTGTAATTCTATGTGGAGATCTAGTATGTTTAGATCTATATTGGCCGGGTGTGGTTCCCAATCAGAGGCAGCTGTCGATCATTGTCTCTGATTGGGGGTCATACTTAGGTAGCCTGGTTGCCTACCTTAGTTGTGCGATCTTGACTCGTGTTTGGCTTGTTGTGTGTAGCCACTGTTGAGCTTCGCGTTAGGTTGCTTTTGTTGTTTTGTCTAGTGTTTATTCGTTCTAATAAACAGGTACGCATACCACGCTGCACCTTGGTCTGACCCGTCTCTCAATGAACGTAACAGAAGATCCCACCAAACAAGGACCAAGCAGCGTGCCCAGGAGAAGCATAAATCATGGACTTGGGAGGAGATATTAAATGGTAAGGTTTCATGGACATGGGAAGAGATCCATGCTGGGATGGATCGCCTTCCTTGGGAGCAGACAGAGGCAGCAAGGGAGGAGAAACGGCAACTTAAAAAGACTTGGTCACGAAGAAAGCCTGAGAAGCAGCCCCAATAAAATTTTTGGGGGGGCACACGGGGTGGACGACGAGGCAGCAGGAGGCCGTGAAAGTGCTGACTGTAGAGGAGGAGGCCGCTCTTTTAGAGGTCCTCCAAGACCTGCGGATCTGCAGTTTAAGAGAGGAGGCCACCACATTACGGGGGCTGATAGTGAGAATTGAGCAGGAGAGCTCCCTTCAAGAGGAGGCGCTGCAGGAGGCCCGTAGGGAGAAGGAAGTAGTGGATGCACGGAGAGAGGAGCTGGTCAGGCAAAAAAAGGAGTGTGTGTTCATTGAGGAACCAAGGTATGCGGAGATACGCACTGTGTCACCAGTGTGCATTCACAGCCCAATGCGTCCTGTGCCAGTGCCCCGCACGTGTCGTGCGAATGTGGGCATCCAGCCAGGACGGGTTGTGCCAGCTGTACACTCCAGACCTCCAGTACGCCTCCACGGTCCAGTATATCCTGCTCCGGTTCTACGCACTGTGTCACCAGTGCGCCTCCCCAGCCTGGTACGCCCCGTACCTGCTCCCCGCACCAAACCAGTGGTGCGCGTATCCAGTCCAGTACGACCCGTACCTGCTCCCTGCACCAAACCAGTGGTGCGTGTATCCAGTCCGGCACGGCCCGTGCCTGCTCCTCGCACCAGACCAGTGGTGCGTGTTCCCAGTCCGGCACAGCCCGTACCTGCTCCCTGCACCAAACCAGTGGTGCGTGTATCCAGTCCGGCACAGCCCGTGCCTGCTCCTCGCACCAAACCAGTGGTGCGTGTCGCCAGCCCGGTACGCCCCGTGCCTGCTCCTCGCACCAGACCAGTGGTGCGTGTTCCCAGTCCGGCACAGCCTGTGCCTGCTCCTCGCACCAAACCAGTGGTGCGCGTCTCCAGTCCGGCACGGCCCGTGCCTGCTCCTCGCACCAGACCAGTGGTGCGTGTTCCCAGCCCGGTGCGGCCCATGCCTGTTCTTCGCACCAGACCAGTGGTGCGTGTCCGCAGCCCGGTAAGCTTCTCCACTCCAGTGCCAGAGCAGTCCGCTCCACCGGGGCCCAGTCCAGCTCTGATCAGCTGCTCCAGTCCAGTGCCAGAGCAGTCCGCTCCACCGGGGTACAGTTCAGCTCCGGTCAGCGGATCCACTCCGGAGCCAGAGCAGTCCGCTCCACCGGTGCCTAGTCCAGCTCCGGTCAGCGGCTCCACTCCGGAGCCAGAGCAGTCCGCTCCACCGGGGTCCAGTTCAGCTCCGGTCAGCGGCTCCACTCCAGGCCCAGACGTCAGCCCCTCTCCAGGTTCGGGGCCTCCCACACCAGGGTCCAGACAGGGCTTGGTGCATCGTGGGAGGAAGGAGAGGGGAAGGATCGCGCCGAGGTCCAGACCAGACCAGACCAGGGGTGCAACGGGGAGGCAAAGAGGGAGAGGTCATCACGCCCGGAGCCGGAGCCGCCTCCGAGGCTGAATGCCCACCCGGACCCTCCCCTAATGAGTCAGGTTGGTGCGGCCGGAGTATGCACCTTTGGGGGGGAGGTACTGTCAAGCCCTGACATAGAGTTCGCTAGTTGGTTTGGTCAGGGTGTGAGTATCTATGTAATGTGTCATTCTATGTGGAGATCTAGTATGTTTAGATCTATATTGGCCGGGTGTGGTTCCCAATCAGAGGCAGCTGTCGATTGTTGTCTCTGATTGGGGATCATACTTAGGTAGCCTGGTTGCCTACCTTAGTTGTGGGATCTTGAC